TAAGTGTTCCTGCGGTCCCGCAAGGTGTTCTCATAATGATCCTTCAAGACGGTCTCGCAGACTCAAAAAGTTTATATGAGTATACGTTACAACTTCATCTATTCATTGTATTTCTTCTTCTTTTCTTTTTTCGTTTCATCTTGACAAGGTAGTTACTTGTTAGTGACATAACGTGTCAATTTAGAAAAAAAAGCTAAAAATTATCATTACCACTTCACAGCAATGATACTCATAATAAGTAGAGAAAGCATTGTAAAAGTTTCTCCAATAATGCATTTATCTTTGATATTTAGGAGGTGCACTAGGCGAGCAATCGATTCACAAGACCTAGTGGCTAACTGCATTTGGATTTGCCTTAATGAAGCAAACGATACCATGCCACTTTACATTCCACCTTGCCATAAAGGTGCAAGATGGCAACAAATGGTATTTCATAGTCTTGGGTTCCTTTCATTTTAGGCTTGTTAGCAAGTTAAAATCTTTTCATGGTCAATATGAACAATTTGCGTTCATAGACATTAGATATTTGGCAACTCACCTTTCCAACTAAATGTTTTTCTTGTAAAGGGGGGCGTTGTTAAAACGCTTAGAAACATTTGAGAAAACCTTTAACCAAACAGAACTCTGTAGAAAAACCCTATCGCCTTATCCAAAGACTTTATTTTGGGTTAATTGTCTATAAACTTTGCACTTATTGATAGTTATTCAGATGATCTTAACATTAGTAACCCAACTTGAGAAAAGAGTTCAAGACTTATAGGTTCTTGAAACTTATGGACCTAATCCACTCATACGCAAGCACGTCAAGAAGTTTCGCTCATAGGCGACCTTGGAGCAATTTGTGGGGCTAATTTAAGTTCCACTAAAATCTTTTGAGATCAATTCCATGATCATGTATTTGACTAAGAATTATATGTTTGGTATTCGTATAAGATATGTGCATCTCCCTAGATACGTGTGTGGGCACACTCACAATGAGAAGACAAAACATTAGCATAATAACAACAAAAAAGGAAGAGACACTACTAAAAAAGGCAACACCAAAGAATTCATGCATGTTCCTTCTTTAGCGATGAAGTAGGGTGAAACAAATATTTAGATTTGACAATTATTGTTAGTAAGAACAATTTGAAGGAGTCCAGTGATCACAACCATATCTCAGCTCTAGAGACATGCCATGGTATTTGAATCATCTATTTCAAAGTTGACATTATGATGGTGGCATTATGGTACGTAGCCCTCTCATGTGTCGTCTTTTCGTTTTTACTCTCATGTATGATCTTGATAGCAAGCTTTCCAAGTGTTTTACTTTCTAATTTCTATTGTTGAAGCTACAAGGTAAAGATGGTGGTCTTCTGACAAATAGAACTCAAGATTAGTAAGATTGGACTTCTTTGCAATAAAGCTCGAGGTTAGTAGCCTTCTAGGAAGCATCCTTAAATTCAATAGCCCTTTATTGCCTGCATTTTTACTTGATATACTCTTTGCTACGGATATGGACACATTATAAAGTTTAAGAGTCCTAATATGGACAAAGACCATTGAGGTTCTCTTGATCAAAAAGTTATGAAAAATTGTAAAACTGGAGATAAGTTTCAGACATTTATATAATCTTTCATCATCTAGCGCAAGGCAAACCTCACCAAAGAAAATAGATCGAATGTTCCCTAAATAGTGAATCGTCCATAATTATTTTGTTCTCAATCTTCTTACTTGTTTCAACCACGTGCCAACTTCAATTTATATTTCCTTTTCAGTTTTACGCATAAAAATTTCCTTGCAAGCAAGATATGAACCATCTAATAAATAAAAGCCTGTGGAATCTAGAAAAAAGTTGAATTTGATCTCCTAATCAGAAGACGCATTCATGCAATCTAGCAGAAGTTGCCATCTTCTAATAAAAGCATCTTTCACCGGATCATTTGATATTGAAACAGTTATGAGCTTTACAGCGTATTCTTATAGGTAGTTTCTATCTTCAAAAATAGAAACAAAAAAGAAAGATATATAGCCACTAGTAGTACTCCCAACCTCTTGATCCAATCCTTGGTGCTTTCTTCAAAGGGTCCACAAATCCACATGTAGCATCTGAAGAAGCTTTAATCAAACTTCCTAGGGTGTCAAGTTTCCAATTAAAGGGACGTGTTCATAATTGAATTACTAAAGCATTTGTTAACCGAAACATGAACAAATGACAGCTTCCTGGTGAACCCACTTCTTGTGTCGATATTATTTGTTTTGGCCCTACTAAACTCATGACCTTCTAGAATAAGGCCCATACAAAATGAGCATTCCACTTCTTAAATCCTAGTAAGCTTCTCTCTCAAGTGGCGAGGGTCACCTAATACCCCTTTTGAGACAATTTCCTTGATGGCACGACCTTCAATTATCCCTTCTAGGCTCCAAACTTACTAAGTGGAATAGATCCGTATACCACTTGAGAGGACCTCTCCAATCTGCAAATATTGTCAACTTGGCCACAATAGGCTCATAGTTTTCCATAATGCATCTGCACAAATGGGTGAAATCCCCATTCACCAGTGCTGATAAGCCTATTCTCCTAGTGATAGGGACACTCGAGCTAACATAGTAGGTCCCACCAAGGTTGGTTTCCAGCAGAAGGTGATCATCTGGAGGCTTACACAATTAATGCGGCCCGCTTGATAGGTGTTTCCCCAAGCAACAAGCCAAATACCTTGGTTCGGTTGGGTACTAATACAGCTTGTCACTGGTTCCAGAATGGACGAAATCACAAGCACATGTGAGACTAGACCTACTTATGGAACCTATAAATTTAAGCATAATCTTACATCAAACAAATTTCATTAAATCCTGAAAAGCAATCAAAACTCTGACCCGCATGCTGAAAAGCAATCAAAATTAATACATTTTCATACTTAAATACATCTTTAAACAGAATGAGTCAACTTGCAAGTGAAAGAGAGCATAAAACAAACGTCTCAATGCTGCACAGGAAGTAGATGAACTTGAAAACAAGGTTCAGATTCTTGTAAACCATTACATGATATATATATATATATATAACCACCTATTAAAATTGCATAAAAACAAGGCATTTATTAAACATTACGTTTGTTTGTTTGTTGAAAACAAACATTCAAACGTCTACAGAAGCGAAATTGAGAAAAATGCACGGAAAATCGACAAACAAAACTCATTCAACGAAAATTCCTCATAAAATACCAAAAGAATCAGAGATCAACAATGCACATTGCGATTAACAACAGCAACAAAAAGATTAAAGAAATGCGTTTAGAAGAATTAAATGAGAGAGAGAGAGAGAGAGATGAAAACGAGCAATTGCTTACCCACAAGTCTCACAGAGCTTGGCGAATCCTCCATTGCGAAGCTTCCAACCATCTCTGAATTGAGTCGTCTTGGCCTCACAGCTCGAGCAGAGACCTTTCTTCAGTGAGGAAGCCATTTAAGCAAGAGAGAGAGAGAGAGAATGGTGAGTGAAAAACTGAATAAGAAGAGAGAGAGAGAGACTGCAATTTCACTGACAACGAAGAAGACTACGACAAGGAAATTTACGGTGCGGTCACTCAGGACTGTTCAGCTGGGGTGTTTTTGAGTGAAAAATAAAAAAAAATAATTCGAGTTATAATTTTATTTGAATTCATCTTTTTTTTAAGTTTGAATTTAAGTTTGGGCCTAAAACTCGAGTTTAAAGAGTTGTTCTTTTGGAGTATAACTTGAGTGTAGTTTTTAAATTGAATTTGAATTATAACTTGAGTTGAAGTTGTAACTTGAATAAAGTTGAGTAAAATTGAATAAAGTTGAAACTTAAAAGAACGTGAACTTAAATAAAGTTGGAACTCAAGTTGTCTTTTTTTGAGTTTTTTAAACAAAAGAACATGCCCTTAGATTTCTCCTTCAACTTGAGTTCAGAAACTCAAACTCAAATTAATGAACAGTATTTTTTATATTCTTAAAAATGCTATAACTTTTTCGTTTTAATTCTGATTGAGATGATTTTTTTTTCTATGCGTTGATAACGAAAAGATAAATAAAATCATACCCACATATCCTATTAAAATTTTTCATCAGCATTGAGTTTTTATTAAAATACTATTTAAATACAAATTCAAGTTTTGACTCACTCAAACACAAACTCAAAAAGATTCTTATCTCATATCATAACTCAAATGTACAACACAAACTCAAATTACAACTTCAACTCAAGTTATAATTCAAACTCAACTCAAAATCTACACTTAAGTTACCTAACTCAAAAACATCAAAAGAACAAACCCTCAGACTTCCTCACCAACTCAATTTGGGTCTTTCGTAAATTTTGACTTTGATCCTTTGGACATTTTGATGATTTAGGTCTTATTTATTTTATCAGTTTAAAATTTAAATTTTATTATAATAAAAAATTTTCATATAAAGTCACATTTTAACTCGAATGACTTAGTCACATTTTAACTCGAATTAAGTCATTGATTCTGAATCTTAGACATCTGAGCTTGTGAAGTGCCACCTGGGGCTGGATAACATGTTTGATTGTTCAAGATTGATTCTATTGTGATGAGGTGGTGAAATGGCGCTGTTAATGAAGCTTACCGTGGGGGTTAGCTGTAGAGTAGCAAAACCGGAGATGTTGTGAACCTTTTTCAAGTATGAGATGAGAAGATGTCCTCCCAATCTTTCCAAGGATTACAAGCAAAAAATAAGAACACATGGATTTTTAGATTGCTTTATTTTTATTATTTTATTTTATTTTTTGCTTGGATTCTTTTGCATTTCCTCATAAAGAACCTACCTAATTAGCTAATTGTACAATTGTCAAAAAAAAAAATAAAGCAGTCCATTGATGCTTCCTTCCATTAGCATCCATTCTGTGTACAAATTACACATTTTAATATGAAAACAAAACCAATAATACTAGATAAAACAAAACAATACATCAATATATCTTTATTAAAAAATCACAACAATGTCATACAATTTTATTAAGAATCACAACAACAATGTCATACATATTTATTATGAATCACAACAACAATGTCATTCATATTTATTATTCATCACAACAACAATGTCATACATAAACCATATCAATGGCGATTTTCCCACCATTGGTCAAACATTTTCCTAGCGAAGTTATTTATCCATGCAGTCCAAGCATTGGATGTTTCAATATGTGTGTAATGAATAGCCATTTCCCTCCTAATTAAGTTATGAAGAAAACAACATGCGGTCTTCGTCTACTTCCAATTGTCTTTCATAAGGATGAATAGCCATTTCCCTCCTAATGTGCGGCAATAATCCTACATTGTACATTGATAAGATAGAATGATTTTCCCTTAAGAATTGACCATCACCCCTTCAAAAGTCTAAATGTCCTCAGGAGGGTATGTCTATGTATTTAAATGGTAGCGTTGTCCTCCATCAGGAGCCAAAAAGCCTTTACCATTAGGATAACCAACATCACATAAGTAGTAATATCCTGTAAATCATTTCAATATTTATTAGAAAAATTAAAATGCATACACATATTTACCTTGTAGAACTTTCAAGAAGATACATATTTATCTTGTGGAACTTTCAACCCATTCCTCCTAGATAAAGCATCTCATTTGAGTCAGCTGTGGAACCCTCCCATCCGGGAAATACATATATAAATTGCATATCTTGAGAGCATACTCCCAACATTTTGGTGGCAATTTCACCCTTTCTGGAACGGTACCTAGGCGTGTCCACTGCAGACACATTGACCTTGATGTATGCTCCATCAAGGGCTCCCAAACAGTTCTAAAATACAAATAATAATTTTAACTCACATACCTACCGCATATTAACATACAAATAATAAAGAATTAGAGATATTTAAAATTTTCACCTTAACCATTTTCATATTTCATCCGTGGAATTTTCTGGAACTGGCTCTGACCTTTTTAGCAATACTTCATGGAGGCCTAACACCACTTTTAAGACGATATTAAATTGTCTACTTATTGTTTCACCCGAGCGTGAAAATAAGCGTTTCATAATCCTATTTTTTTTTATCATGAGCTAATATATGTAGGAATATAGCTACAAATTCTTCAACATCCATATTTTTGTTCCCCTCAAATTGCCAATGGTTCTAAGGTAGTTACATAGGATAGCAAATGTTCTCCTATCCATACGAGTGCTTTCAAGACATACTAAGTCACTCTCATGTATCAATCGATGGTAATTTAGTTGGCATATATGATGTCGTCGATAAGAACTCTCACCCCATCTATTTCTACGCAAACGTCTCTTACTAATAATTACAAATATCATAAGAATGAACAAAAAAGTCATTTCATTTAACACCTCCATATATTGAACCAAAATAGCCACAATTCTTTTTTTTTTTCTTTTTGGCTCCAATGGAAGAAGATTCATAGCTGCTCATTGATGGGAAAAAAGAAATAAGCATACTGATTATAAAGAAAAAATTCAGCCATGTATATAACGAATTCAACAAGAAATATATTCAACGAAAGGCAATGGTCATCATTAACAGTTTCAATAAGAAATAGATTCAAGCAAAGACAATGACATCATTAACGGATTCAACCAAAAAAAAAAAAAAAAATAGAGCTATTTTCTCTCTTTTTTTTCTTTTCTTTTTTTCCTGCTCTAAACCATAACCATGGCATTGTAACCGGATAACCAAAGGCAATGGTCATCATTAACAGATTCAATAAGAAATAGATTCAACCAAAGGTAATGCCATCATTAATGGATTCAACAAGAAAAATAGAGCTATTTTCTCTCTTTTTTTTCTTTTTCTTTTTTTTTCTTTTCTTTTTTTCCTGCACTAAACCAAAAGGTGCTCTGCGTTGCCCTCAAAAAGAATATCCATTAATGAAGATTTTGAAAGAAAGTCCATTATCCAAAAGGTGCTCTGCGTTGAAAGAAATATCCAAAAGGTGCTCTGCATTGAAAGAAATATCCAAAAGGTGATCTGGTCGAGAAATTTCTCTTTAAAAAAGATGCGCTTCTATCCTAAACAAGACAAATTTCTCTTCTTCACCGAGATCTCTAAATTTGGGGATAAAAAAAATCCAGGCTGATGCGGATTCAACAAGAAGAAAAGAAGAAAAAAAAACAAGATAATAACATACCCTGGTGGTGGCGGCACAGAAAAGTCCAGCGACGGCGTGGCTGAATGGAAGGCAGCAGCGGCGTGGTCGAGCGGTGCCACACGAGATGAGAGAGAGGAGGCTAGCTGGGAAGAGATGGGTGACAATCTAAGAGAGACGTGAATGTGAGAGAGAGAGGTTAGGGCTTTTTTTTCCGTGATATTTAACTTTATTGGGAAAGTGAATAACACCAGCTGGGTTTAAGATTACCTCAAAATGTGATAATATAAAAATTATAGGTTTTATTTTTTTAAATTTTAAAAAAATTTAACAATTATATCAAACATAAAAATTATAAAATTTTCATTCCTACTCTTAAAATTATCTCATACCAAACACCCTCTTAAAGTATGAGATGAGAAGAGGTCCTCCCAATCTTTCCAAGGATTACAAGCAAAAAAATAAGAACACATGGATTTTTAGATTGCTTTATTTTTATTATTTTATTTTATTTTTTGCTTGGATTCTTTTGGATTTCATCATAAAGAACCTGCCTAATTAGCTAATTGTACAATTGTCAAGTGCAACAAACAATTGTCAAAAAGAAAATAAAAGTTTCTACCACCACCTCCTTACACATAGAATTTTGGGGTTTTTTTTATTCTTTTTGATAAAAGATATTAAAACACACTTAATTTAGATTTGAATTTAACATAAAAGAATGTTTATATATAATCATTTCTTTTTATGTTTATGTATTTATAATCCATGAATAATTTGCCCAAATCTACAATTTATATTCAAAAGAATGGCAATATAAATCCCCTCAATAAATGAATACGAATGAAGTAGATAAGAAAAGAGAGAATGAACTTTTTTTAAAAAAATAAATGAACTATAGCTGTACATACCTAAACAAGTGATCATGTTGTTCAATTATAGTCCTGTCTTATTGATGTTTAATATGATTATTTCTTTGTTACGGAAGTAGATATATTTTAACACCCTTTAAAATTTAAGAAAGTCAAAAAAAAAAAAGAAGAAGACAGTTTTAATAAATTCAGTTAACAAAAATGGAAAAGAAAATCACAAGGGAATTTAAAGAATATCCATTGAGAATCTGAGATGATTTTGGTTGAGAAATTCTTATCCAACCGTAAAGAGCATCAAGCACATTAGAACCATATTTAGCTCTCTATTTTATACTAATGTCATTTCCTTTCAAGAATTTTCGTTTGGATTCTACATTGAGCTCTCTATTTATGTCATTTCCTTTTAAGCTATGTTTGAAATTGACTTTCCAATTGAAAGCCAAATCCAACCTCTCCTCTCTAAGGTAAAATTTTTTCAGCAGAAATGTAATTAAACCAATTGGGTAAGTATGAATTTGATAAGATTTTATTTGCCATTTTTGGCCAATGGGATTCTCAACACAAAGTATGCTCTTTCTAGCTACATATTACCACTCCTATTCCAAGGCTATGCATCAAATCATCTAAATCAATTAAACTGACCAGACCAAATCAAACCAAACTAAAAGCAAACCAAATTAAATTATAATCAGTTTAATTGTTAAAAACAAAAACTAATTTACTTGGTTTGGTGTGTAGAATTATTATTAAAAAAAAAAAAAACCAAACCAAATCTATTTTTGTTTGTATATCATGAGAAATTATATCTATCTTATACAATTTTCAAAATATAATTTGTTATTTTATTATATGCTATCATGTTCGGTTTGTAGGTATTTTTTATCTAACATATTTAAATAATTTATTTTTGATATGAATGATTTTTTATTATATGAATATTTATTTATTGAGTAATAAATGATTGTGTATTAATTATTACAATATAGTTTTGGTTACTTTAAAAATAGAATGATTAATATTAGTTGAAACCAGCCAAAACAAAACAAATGTGATTGGTTTGGTTTGATCTAAATTTGATTATAATAAATGGTTTGATTTAGTTTGAAAATTTCAAAACCAATCTATAATTGATTTGTTTGTACTTATCTAAAATAAATGGTTTGGTTTGGTTAGATTGCACACCCCTTACAAATTCTTGTTAATGTTAGGTAGTTAGAGACTAATAAGAGTATGGTTTTTGTTTTATATTGTTATTCAAATGACAAGTTAGAGACTGAATATGACACTTTTTCCTTCACTGGATCAGATTGGGTGAATAAAGAATACTATTGAAAAAAAAAAACGCATTAAGTTGCAGTTAAAGTGACATTAAAAAAAAGTGAATTGCAAAACAGCAGTGTCGAAACTCTAGGTCTACTATCATATTTCATAGCAGTTTTTAATAATAAATTTTGTAAGACATTAAAGAAACGTTTGGTAAGGAGATTCATATCATGATTTGAATTATGGTTCATGGTTCACTTTAGTATTTTTTCTCATAAAAAATACACGTAAATAAAAAATAGTTATAATTTTATAATTTTAATTCATAAACCAAACATCTCCTAATATAAATGATTTTCTTCTTTTTTTTGTTGAGTATAGATTGTTCTTTCTTCTTCAAGGAAATAAAAAACAAAAAACAAAAACAAAGCAAAAAATCTTTCTTCATTATAGATTATTCTCTTTTGGATATAGGCGGTTGTTTCATGATTATAAGAATATTGATTATTATTTCTTTTAATCTAGAAATCTGATGGTGATAAGAATGTCTTATCGGTTGGAGCCTTCGCTTCTATCCATCCATGGTCCGAGTCATGCCGTACACAAAAGTCCACCCTTTGGCCATATGATAAGCATGCCAGAAAATAACCTTCAGTTAACACAGACAGTTTCCGTTTATTTTACTGATTTGAGTTTATAATTTAAGTTGAGATATGATTTTATGTGAAAGTTTTTTATTGTAATAAAAAAATTAGATGTGACTGTTTCTGAAAGCTTTTTACTGTACCAAAACTCAAATTCTAAATTCGAATCGGTGAAGTGAACGGAGTTGTTTGGAGAAAATTCAAAAAGTATCCCCCAATTTAACCTAAATACAACATTTACTTTTGAGATTTTTAAATTTCAAAAAGCATCCCTTGTGTTTTTAAAATCATACAAAAATCATCCATTCTTTTAAGTTTTCTGATTTAATTTTTTTTAAAATGGCTAAATTGCCCTTGGCTTCCTTATACCAACTTTCAAATACTTTTTTTTTTTTTTTGAAGTTGATCTCAATGGACGTTTGGTTCATGAATTTATAATCATAATTCAGAACTATTCTCGTTTTATGTGTATTTTTTTATGAGAAAATACTGTAGATTTAGAATGTGAAATTTGCACGAAGAATTTGAACATTTGTTATTGTTTCATCCACGGCTGGTGGAAACTCTAGGTATGTTACTGTTTGGATCAATAAACGTCATCACGATCAACAAGATCATTGAAATCCTCGCTACTAGTTTCTTCATCACAATACCCACGGCCATTCAACCACTCTTGATCACTATCATCTGTGGGTGATGATAAGTTGTTCTATCATCCCCATTCAAATTGTTATCAGCCCCCTCACACCTTGCTAAGATGGATTCCACAGTCATATTTGAAACTCTAAAAAAACAGAGAAAAAAATCATCTCAATAGTTTTGTTCATATTCTATTCATAATAATAATAATAATAATAATAATCACATTCTCAATAGGGCTTTTTTTTGGGGGGGGGGGGGGGGGGGGGGAAAAAGGGGGGGGGGGGGGGGGGGGGGGGCTCTAATATCATGTCCTTGGCTTGTGAGGGTATAATTGTCTTCTCAAATAATTTAGCTGATTAAAAGTCAAAAGATGAATGGTATTTTCCTAATTTTAAAAAACATAAGGGATACTTTTTAAATTTTAAAAAACTCAGTTGTATTTAAACAAAATTGAGGGGATACTTTTCGTGTTTTCTAACTTGTTTGGTCAAAAGAACAAGCACCTGAAACAGTCTGATTCAATTGTTTGACTACATAATTGGTTTCAAAGTTAGACCTGTCTTTTGTTTCTTCAGAAGCCACGGTCGGGTGAAGAACATAAGTCTCATTCAGTTCATTGATTCGACTTTTTAATTTGAGGTGAGATGTGAATTTATATGAGAGTTTTTTACTGTAGCAGAAAAAGTTAGATACAACTTTTTGTGAGAGCTTTTAACTGTAATAAAATTAAAATTGAAAACACGAATTGATGAAATGAACGAGGCCATTATCTCCAGCTTTCTCATCGGCCGTAATTCTCTGGTTTTCCAAGGAATTTCCTACAACTTTCTCGAGCAAAACATGGCTTATTTCATAAGTCACGCCATCCTTTGTCCTTCTTCCCGTCTTTGGTTGCCTGTGGTGTTGGCTGGCCTTTTGTCACTGCTAGAGGATAGTTCTCCACAGCTGTGACCCTCCCTTCACATGTGGTTCCACCCATGAGTTCCTTCCTGCTGTCTTTCTCGACGAACAAGCGCAAAAATTTCTTCAAGTTCAAGAATTGGTTCTCTCCCCAAGACTGGAGCACAAACTTGATCATGCTTTCAGTTGACAGTTGAGTCCTAATAAGAACAGATACCCTTTCCACTTCTAACTTCTCAGCTACTTTTTTTCTATCTTCAACACGCTCTAATTCGATTTTCGGACAAAAATCAATTTCGTTGAACAAACTTGCGAGTGTATTCTAATAAATGGTGATTGATGCTTGGAGTCCTTGAGATCCAGTCACTTGATCTGAAATATGTGTGGAGTGAACTCTATTTAGAGCAGGTTTTGTTGGCAGCTGCCCAATAGTCCTTGTATGCATCAATAAAAGAGAGATTTTTGAAATTTCAGGTTGCACTGCAGCAACAAAGAAATTACTGAGATTTTGGCCTCCCATGTCGAATAATTGGGATCGGTTTCTGCAGGAGGAAGGGCATCACCAGTAACATTAAAATTTAAATTTACTCGTGAGTGAAATTCAAGTGGATTAAGACTCCATGAAATTCTTGCCATTAAGTTCTATAGTAGCAATCCGAACAGTCAGATTTTCATTGTTAATGGACACTGAAAATTCGAGGAAGATATCTGAACAATCGGGTTTTCATTGTTAATGGACACTGAAAATTCGAGGAAGATGACAACAATGGTGTGATAGAAGATAAGGTGATTTCTAACGTGGTGGTGATCAAAGCAAGAAAAAGAAACCAACAAAGGTGGCAGAGATCTTTGGTCTTGATACACACCTAATGTCCAAACAATTTTGGTACAAAGCTCATGCTAAGAGCACCAGGAACTAATAATCGGCTCTAATAGTCGGTCCAAACCCTTAAGTTTTTCAGGCTAGTAATCAAGGGGAAAAGTAGTTAATTATATTGCTTTGATCATGTACAAAAACTCAGTAAATATACAAAAGAGTTGACTACACTAAAAAGGAAACTAAGCAGCATATAGAAATCATACATAAACCCCCCATAATAAGGATTTTGTCTGCGCCTATGATCTGAGAAACAAATTGCCCTTTGGTAGAATGTGATTCCAGTTTATCCAAGTCATAAACACATTCCACATTAAAATAAACATGATACCGTGTACAACAATATATAAACATGATACCGTGTACAACAATATCCAATCTGACAGAAATTTGTTTGGACTGTAAAAAATATTTAACTATATAAGGAGCTTATCCAAGACTAAGAAAATATATTGCACAACGGCCAAAAAATAAAAAGGAAACAAAATTGGTGCAGAGGAACTAGAAAGAATTGATGTTTGTAAGGCCTTTTATATAATAGTAACGATGCTATGGTCAGTCAGACACTTGGTTATTCACTCATACAGCAACTTGGCAGATTGGATTCTCATTTTTTTGCTCTCGTTCTTCACGACTTTCTCAACTGATTGCTCGTTTTTAGCTATGGCTTTCGCTACGGATTTCTTCTTGCGTACATTTTTTGTTCTCTTCATTGGTCTTCCCTTCTTTACTTTCCTGGTTCAAGAAATAAAGGGCATGCTTACATGAAGACGATGAGTTGTTTTTAAGCCTCAAAGAGCTCTACAAAAGAGTACCTATAATAGTCGAAAAAGAAGGAATGGATTGGGCGAGAGGTCTCTCAAATTCTTCAAAAACGCCAATTTTAATCTCTCAATACAATATCCAGGAATTAAACGAGGAAATCTTTGCCGAACACAATAAGAAAACAAATCATGTCCTTACTCTTCATTTTCCTCACCCAGGTTTTACACCTTACATCATATTTTTTCTTTTCCTCTTACCAAATACAAATAAAACATTTGTTTTCAAATCTTAACTCCATTAGGAAATATACTCTTCTTATAGTCTCTCTGGTTCTTTAAAGTTAAGTAATTAAATCGTCAGTCTAACAACACAAATCTTTCAATGACAAAAAGAAAAAAAAACAATTTCTTTAGTAATTAATACCCAAAATCCTATTATTAGATCGTCAGTCTAACAATACAAATCTTTCAATGACAAAAAGAAACAAAAAAATTCTTTAGAGCCAAAAAAGAATAATTTCCCATATTGTTAATGGCGAACAGTAGTTCTAAAAGAGAGTTGAAACTTACAAATTGCGATCATCAGAATCTGGGTCTTGTACTCCAAGCTCTGAGGTGTCCATCGCTGTATGTGTAAAATGAACAAAGATTATTTTTTTTGTGTTTAATTCTAATGACAAATTAAGAATTTCGACCATAAAATTGCAAAAAATAACAAAAGTAAGTATTCTGCCATTTTTTTAAAATTTTCTTTCTCACGTTTTTCTCGGCAACCAAACACAGGACAAGCTCTTTTCCATGAAACGAGTGAGTACCTTGAGGAGCATCTGAAAGCGAATCCGTCGCGATTTCCATAGCAGAACTGTTTAGTTTCTTCTTGTTCCGGTTTTTCGCCATTGCAAAGACACAGAGAGAAAATGGAGTGGTTGCCGAGAGTTTAGTGAAAGAAAAACCCTAGTGAAACACAGCTGCCACCACCATTAACGTCGAGATAGCCCTTACATGTGGTTTGGGAGACAGTAGACACGACCGCCTTAGGCTATTGGGCTTATCAATGGGCCCGTGGATTTCTAGCCCGTTTTCTTTCCGAGAAAATAGCCCGCTTTCTTTCCGAGAAAACGCGCTATAATCTACAAATTATTGACAGATAAATTTAATAACAGTTACATAAATAAAATATTATTTATTGATGGCATTTTTGACAATTATCTTTTGTTTCCTTCCCAAAAAATTGTGGGTATGCCACCAAAATTTCAAGAGAAAATTAAAGAATTTATCTTTAAAAATGTATGAGTCTAACTTTTTATTCATAATTAATACCCTTTTATTAATATAATATTTAATTAAAATGATATTAGAACTTTTAATTTTAGTACATTTATCTTTACATTTTTGCTTTTTAACAGTTTTGATCCTGAACGTAAAAATTGATGAAGGATTTATGTAATTTAATATAAATAATCACATTTTTATCGCCTAGCAACTGAAAAATCTTACATAAATAATTACTCTAAGTGCAAAACATCCTATCTTTCAATAACTTTAATGTGCTACATATAACTATTTTTATAAAATTTTAAAGTTAATGCACAGTCAACATATGGTTTATTATTTTAAATGATGAAAATCACTCGTCAATGTTTAATATAAAGGACCAAAACCGTCAAAAATTAAGAATTTTAAAAATGATTATTGAAATAAAAATTTAAGAACCAAAATGTCATAATACTTAAAGTTTATGTACCAACATTATAAAAAAAAAAAATTCGTATTTTGGGAGAGGTGTTTTGAGACGCTGCTGACATTTTTTTTTTTTAAATAGCCAAAATTTGCGCCACAATCCCCTAAATTTTTATGATTGTGAAACGTTAGGGTCCCTATTTTCTATCAATATCTCCATCCAATTTTTTTCTAAAATCTAGGCACTGATAGTTTTATACTTGCAGAAAAACCAATGTCGACAACTCTTGATAAAATTGCGATCTAAGAGCCCATTCGGTTCGCTAATTCGAGTTGAGATGTGATATTGTGTGAGAGTTTTTTACTGTAGCAAAAAAGTTAAATGTGACTGTTTCTGAGAGCTTTTTACTGTAATAAAACTCGAAGCAGCGAAAAGAACGAAGCTTAAATTCCATACATGATTGCATGTTTACCATTGAAGGACAATGATCTATGACTGTTGTGAAACTGTGCACTACAAGACCCGTTACACCACAGTAGACCATCTTATTGACTTCGACGTTAAGCGCAAGTCGTATTCTTTGAACTCAAGGTGAAATCTGAAGAATTTAACTATAGGCCTTAAAAACAAGAGAGAGTTACACTATAACGGTAAAATTTCATTCTTGAGTTGAAATTTAACAAAACTTCGAGAATATTAAAAAATAACAAAAATAACATAGTTAAAAAAAAAAAAAAAAAAAAAAAAAAAAAAAGAGAAAGCGTGTAACCACTTAATTACATCTGGATTTGTAACTTCAAAATTTGATTCCGCAGTTTGTTGTCTTTTATGGATCTCTATACCTTTCACTCTACCCAAGAAGCATTAAGAGGCAAGAATAAACGGACAACACACATTGCTTAAGTTACCAAAATTGAATGCTCAATTGATAATTATCAAACAACGAAAAAACTGCTCAATTCTTTGTCCATTTAGCTTTTACATGGCCATTACCAAAATAGCTAATCTTAAGTGCAGCCATTTAATAGGGAAACAGCTACCTTGTCTTGTGGGCTTTTGCCAACTTTTGCTTTCTCTTCTTCACAGCCTTGGGCACCTTATTCTTCCGAGCCTCCCTTTTCTCTTCTTTGACCTTCTTTTTGTTCTCTTTTCTAGCAGTTTTCCTATCAACAGGAGCATGTGACTCGGTTTCAGATGAAGAACTCTCTTCAAAATCTCTCGAGTTTTCTTCATCCTCATCTGCACTAGATTCTGACTCAATCTCAGGCAGGTTAGAATGACCAGATGGATTGGCCGTTGAATCTTCAACGACATTCGCCTCAGGCTGCTGCTTCTGTTGTTTCTCGACCAAAGCCGGTTGATCTCTAGAAAGAGCCTGCTTTAGTCCGGTAATAGTCTTATAGTACATATCCCCGGTGTCCTGACCACTAGTCAGCCGTATTACATCCTCCTCAACATTTTTCACGTGATCCAATGTCTTTGGAATATATGACTGAGAATAGAACAAAAAAGTTTATTAGTTTCAACATCGCTTTCTTGTATCCTAATTCGTAACGGAGCCTGTCAGTAAATTTTGACCCAGCTATTTCCAGACTTTTTTCTCAACGTATCGTTAATCTCAAAGAGGCAAGTATAATATACTTGATGTGCATAAGATAGGAAAGAACATTACAAACTTTAACGTTCACGCATTCATTTCGTAGCTTGAGGAGCATGTAGTTATATAAAGGTTTAATATATATACATATATGGCTATCCGCTAGACCAAACTTTGTTATACAAAATTAAGAAAGGAACTCCAAAGATGCTGGCTAAAAATGGTATACCTGCACAAATACGGAGTCTGCAATTTCATCCTCTGCAGATACATCTCTCGACATAATTTTTTGTTGTATCTGAAAGAAATCAAATGGAGTCAAGATAGAAATTCTCCAAAATATTTGACCACATAAGGTAGGCACAATACCTCTTCAAGATAACTATCCACAGCTTCGTCAGCAATACAAGGATCAACTATAAAATCAAATAGTTCTCGGATTGTCATAACAGCTACACCATGTTTCTTGAAAAAATCCTGCATGCCACCGCACATAAATACTCGATAAGCTTTGCTGCCAAAAATAATGTCGCCTCAAATAAAACAAGTTTCAACATCCACCCTATCCAGTATAACTTACAGAAACATGAACACAATCTTCACGCAGAAAATCGAGGGCATGAGGATGGTCCAGATCGACTGATTGCGAAACATCAATAATATACAAGTGACCCTGTGAAAAATCAGGGAATACTTGACCCCAAATAATAACATGTATAACAATTAACAAATATATAAGAGATTTAAATATATGCTTACCTCATAATAAAGTATGTTATATTCACTGAGGTCTCCATGCACCAGTTTGCACTTTTGATATAATGTCCTCATGGCAATTATCATCTGTCATAGAATCATAAAAACATTACACCGAAACATGCAAACAAATACAAATACGAAGCATGACAACTTCTCATCAACACCAAGACTGGCACAAGACAACTTAAATTATTCATACAAAGCCAGAGTTGGACATCATAAGAAAAGGCACACACGCATGTAAGTGACCATGACTTTGGCTTCTTGAAAGTGGATTTATCTAAATTATAAACCAACCCCTTCGACTAGCGTCAACCGCCTCTACATAATCTCAAATGGTCTTCTTTGAGTGGGAAGGCTCTTTCTCCAATGCGTCATTGAGGGGAGTAAAGTAAAAGAACACAACTTTTAGCACCTGCCTTTAGCCATCAATTTGGAGGCAGGTTCTACATGTGTTGTTAATCTTACTATTAAAATTGTATACAACATAATCTTCAAGGATTAAAACACACCTCCAAATAACCTTCACGTAGCTTGTCTAGTGATAAAGCGGCATCTTTAAGACGAGGTGCAGCCCAACCCGATTTTCCTGTAAGAGCACCACACAGATCCATCAGGAATCAGAAGCTCAGGCAAATGACAATGTAACTTTGAGCCATGCTCACAAGAACTTAGCAAAGGAGCCCAGAAAGTGACTCAATAAAAAATAAAAAACAAAAGAAAGAGAGAGAGAGAGAGACAATCAATTTACATTAAGAACACCATGAAGGAGAATGGTCTTAACAGGTTAGTAACTCAACCAAGTTAAACTTGCAACCACAGTAAAATGGGAAAGA